CTATAAACCTTAGGAAACTGTTCATGTGATAGTTCCGTAATAACAAACTAATAAAATCTAATCGGCCAAGGAAGTGGTCTTAATAACAAAAAAAAAAATAAAAATAAAAAAAGATATAATTGTAATAGCTAATTTTGAAGCATTATTAAATTCATGAGATTCTTTAAAAATTTCACCAACGCATAAATTAAGCTGATGAGCAAAACAAGGTAAAAAAATCTTGTTTATATATTTTAATCGTAATCGTCGTCTAGAAAATAAAGCAAATATAAATAAATTTAAATTTAGATTAAAAAATTTATAAAACTTACTTTGCCGCTGCATATGAAGAAGCACTATCAGTTACAAGACCAATAATTTGAATTTTTTCCATTTCGAACATATTAAAAAATGATTCTATCAATTCCATTATATTTTTCCACTTTTTTTGGTCACCACTAACATCTTTAGCTTCCCAAATTAGTAATTCACCTTTTGATATAATGAGTACAGATCCTAAAATTTCTTGTTTAGATACATTTTTCCATTCATCGAATGCTAGCATTACACCATTTAAATCTTCTTGTGCTTTAATTTTTAAAGTATTTTGCATTTTTTTAGCTGCATCTTTTAAAATTCGACCAGCAAGTTGTTTACGATTAGGTAAAATAAGGTTTGGATTAAGCCATTGATAATGTGCAATTACAGATTTACTATCTACCCATCTAAAAGACCAACCGTTTTCAATAGTCATATTAAGAATATGTTTATCAAATTGAGATTGTTCTTTATAAGTAGGTGTATGAGCTAAATAATGCATTATTTTGTTTGGATTAGAAATTTGTGATATATTAGTATTTTGACTTGTAGCAGATTCTGTTGATCTTGTAGTTCGTTCTGAATAAGTAGAAATTGTGTCATAATCATCGTTATCAGAATCAATTTGAAAAGCTTTTAAAATAAAAATTAATAAAATTTATTATTATTTTAATTAAGATAGTTAAATGTTAATATTTAGCCAACAATTATAAAATTTACCATCATCATCAAAATTATAAGATTTTTCATATTTTTGCAACTCAATACTTTTTCTTTTCTTTATTATTTTCCTTGTTTCTTTTTTAAACATATATTCTTGTTCAGCTTCTTGAAGTTTATTTTCTGCTTCAACTTGTCCAAACTCATTAGAAAAATTAATACATTTTTTAAGATGGTTTCGTACTAATACCCATCTATTAATAATTTTTACCTCATCACCAGCTTCGTCACAATAACGACATAAACACCATTTATCACTAGGTTTTTCTGGATTAACATAATCATTTGTAAGAATTATATGATTTGTAAGATTATGTCTCAGCTTTCCACCTGTATATTTTTTGTTATTTGACATCTTTAAAGATATAAAACAATATTATAAAAAACATATATTTATATACTGTATCAAAATTAATTTTAAGGCTAAACATTCTTTGTCGCTAATGCAGGCAATAAATTTGCATGTAAAAAATGAAATAAGTAGCTACGCAATGTGTCAGGAATATATGTGCATAACCAAAATTTCTTTGTCGCTAATGCAGACAATAAATTTGCATGTGAAAAATAAAATAAGTAGCTGCGTGATATGTCAGGAACATTTATGTATCACTAAAATTTCTTTGTCGCTAATGCAGACAATAAATATATGTAAAAAATAAAATAAATACGTAGCTGTACAATATGTCAGGAACATATGTGTATCACATATAATATATGTATATACATACCATACTTTGATATTGACTGATATATAAGTGTACATAGTAAATTCGTCTGAATTAAATACAATTAGAACAATAGGAATAACATATTTTAAGATTGATAAAATGATAACGATTGCAATCCAATATACATATAAAACAATTCTTTAACACATAATATGACTAGTTCAAGACAAAACCTGTATATTATGCAGTATAAATATAGAAGAATCTAGAAGTCACATACGTACCATGTTTTATATGTATGTACATACGTTTGGAGACATTAATAGTTAAATTAGCTGAAACTAATAAATAAAATATTGGAATATTATCATAAAATAATTAAAAATCTTAACGTTGATTTAGAAATCAAAATTTATAATATAAGAATTAAAATTGTCACCAATATTCAAATCAATTTGATAGATTTACTTGTTAACGAGTTTGATATTTGTTGCATGTTGATGTGTTTGCTAGTATACTTGTGATCCGTATGTTTTGGTGAATAGTAACATCTTGGTTATTCCGTCTGAATCTTTTCAATTGCTTCTGTTAAGTTGAAATCATCTGAAGATAGCCCTCGCTTTCACATATATTAGCTTTTCATAACTCAAAAAGATAATAATATTATTCCATCTATGAAACTTCATAAATAGGCCATGTTTTCAGATTTAAATCTACACATTTCCTTGCCAAATTTACCATAATAAACAGGTGTTCCTTCAGCAAATTCTGGGCTCAATCCGTTGTAAATCTTTACTATAAGATCAATATCAAACTGATAACTATCAAAAGTTCATTATCCGATTGACATTTTACATTATAGCTCAAAACCTGTAAATTTCAGCTTGTACGAATAGCTAACCCATCAAAATCTCTGGGGCAACACACTTTCTGAGTAATCCTGAATCTGAAATGCAAGTTTGCATATATTGTATACCTTCACTAAAACTTTCAATTAAAATATTACCGCTATGAAAATCTATTCTATTCTTTGATCTCATAAATCTTTGAACTATTTAAAAGTAGTTGTAATTTAATTTTCTAAGTAAATATTTATAAAGACTTCCATTATTAGCATACTGAGATACCATCATGTATTTGTTTGTTTCTGAGTTTTGAGTTAACCCATATATCTCAAGTTTATTACCAGTTCAAATGATTATCGAACTGTATAATTTATAAATAAATTAGTTTAGTATGTTAATAAATTATAATAATGATTAATTTACCTCTTTTAGCAAATCAGAAGAATTTTTTTTAGGACCAGATAAGGTCTTGAGCGTGATGATTCTATAGAGCTGCATACTTTATAACGATCTTTCATGTTTCGTATACTATGGAGCTGAATCTTCTTTACTTGCTATTTATAAAATAGAATCCATCCAATATCAAATTTAGTCTATTCTTTTTAAAGGACTTTTTTTGGTACATACATTTTTCATACATTTAAAAGATGACAGAAATCCGAATTTAAACTTTAATCCAATACCGATACCGATTTAAATTCAAATTGCAATAACGATAATGATCATCATAGAAAATTGCCAGTTCGGGACCAAAATTAGGTTCCATTGGTTCCATTGGTTCCATTGGTTCCATTGGTTCCATTGGTTCCATTGGTTCCATTGGCTCCATTGGTTCCATTGGCTCCATTGGTTCCATTGGTTCCATTGGTTCCATTGGCTCCATTGGTTCCATTGGCTCTATTGGTTCCATTAGTTCCATTAGCAATTTTCTCAATGGAGTATATCCATTGCCAACCCTGCCAATTAGTAGAAAATAGTATAGAAATACGTCCATGCAAAAATGAAATAGAAGACAGATTAGAAATTCATCCATGCA